CACATTCATTTTAAAATGTATGTGTATACAGGGTTTTCCAATAAGAGGTGTTATTTTGATATTCAAAGTAAAATGCCATTTTTTGAGATAAATGATCGGATGTTTATTTCATTATAAAGAGGAAGGTATGCCGTTAATAATGGAAAATAACATCAGCCAAATGACCACCATGACCACGCCTGCAGGACCATATCCTTTTCATGAAATTTTCCATAACCAAATCGCAAAGTGGCTGCCCTATGTCCTCGATAGCCTCACGAATTCCATCTTTGAGGTCTTGAATCGACGCTGGGCTGTTGGCGTAGACCTTCTCTTTCACGTGGCCCCAAAGGAAGAAGTCGCAAGGTGTCAAATCACAAGATCTCGGTGGCCAATTGTGATCACTTCTCCGAGAGATAACACGGTCCGGAAACTTTTCCCGTAAAAGATCAATGGTTTCGTTGCTTGTGTGGCACGTAGCGCCGTCTTGTTGAAAGTAAACGTTGTCCAGATCAATACCATCCAATTCCGGCCATAAAAATCATTAATCATCTCTCGATAGCGCAATCCATTCACCGTAACTGGTGCTCCAGCCTCATTTTCGAAAAAGTAAGGTCCAATGTCCCCACCGGACCATAAACCGCATCAAACAGTCACACGTTGAGGATAGAGAGGCTTTTCAACAATAACTCTTGGGTTTTCCGAGCCCCAGATGCGACAATTTTGCTTGTTGACGAAGCCACCGAGGTGAAAATGGGCCTCATCACTCAAGATGATTTTTCGATGGAATTCCGGATCATTTTCATGCATTTCAAGGACCCAATCGGCAAAGACACGACGTTGTTGATGATCGGCCGGCTTGAGTTCTTGTTTTAACTGAACTTTATAGGCCTTAAGACCCAAATCTTTATGCAAAATACTGTGTAATGACGTTTTTGGAATGCGTAATTCCAAAGAACGACGAGGAATGGACAAACCTGGGTTTTCTTCAACACTTTCGGCTACAGCAGCAATATTCTCGGCTGTTCTTGAGCGATGTGCACGGGTTTTATTCTTCACATCACTAACTTGTCCCAACAGGTCGAATTTTTCCACCAATTTCTGTACTGCGGTCCGATAAGGTGCTTCACGACGACCCAAAAATGTTCGAGTTTTACGAACCGTCTCCGCCAAATTTTCACCATTTTTATAGTGAATTTTAATAATTTCAATGCGTTGTTGAAGCGTGTAGGTATCGTTCCATTTTTATTAATGGCGTAGTTTCTACTTGTCAAATGTCAAAACATGACAGCTCCAAAAGTGACATCTACCGAAATAGCGGGCTATTCAAAATAACACCTCTTATTGGAAAACCCTTTAGTTAATTTAGATTTGGTTTCTAGAGAAGTTTATTTAAAAATAAAAAAGTGTGTTGCACTATTTTAAGTTATTATAAAAGTAAATTTAGTTTAAAGTGATTTATCATATTTAACTAAAGCAGGTAAGTCAAATAATTATTAAATTAAAAATGGGTCATATAGTTATTTACTTTATTTATTAATGGTGTACAAAAAAAAAACAATTACAATATTTATTTATTAATAATATTTTAACAATCAATGATTTTAAGTACATAATTTATGAATCTTTTTTTTTTTCGTTTTGCATACTTGATCACACTAGAAATTCCTTGTTGTAATTTAGGAGAAACCAAGGGTTAATTACAGTTTTTTCTTTTAGCTTAGGATTTAATTCAAATAATTTTTAGACAGCATTTGTTGTAGTTAATGATGTGTATTGAATGATATTCAATACAGGTATAAATACCGTCACTCATATAAGACTAATTTATAAAGGATTTTACGATAAGTATAATAAAATTTGCTTTTAATAAGAATGTCGCGTTCCACTGGTCAAAAACGTCGTTTTACCGTTTTTCAACGTTTTTTGACGTTTTTACCGTATCACATTCAACGTGTTAAATAACGATAATATTATCGTTGGTAGTATGTCATTGTTGCAGTCAAACATTTGCAACAACCATTAGCTTTTGCAGCAGCTATACTCTTTGTTGGTATTATCTTCGCAAACGAAGATTAGGTGAGAAGGCATACGAGCGATAAAACGTTCACTTGAACGAAGGTTTGGATAGAGGATACATGAGCAATATACATTCACTAGCTGTTTAAGTTGAATGCTGGCTCCTCCATTCGAATCAGATCAATAATAGCAGATATTAGATTGGGAGGACATACATGCGTTCTCGCGAACCATGGTTAAGTTAGAGTGTATACGAGCGACATGTGTTCATGTGAATTTAAATTTTATAGATTTTCGTTAGTGGGTCCTAGAAAAAAAATACTGTACAACTCATGTTGTCACACCATTAATATATGTAGGATAGGATCTTGGACACCAATGCTTTTTAAATGGAAAACGTGTAGTTCACTCTGGACAGTAGAGTGCAGGTGTGGCCATTTAAGTAAAGACTGGACAAATATTGCTATTAATTTAAATGTGGGAAAGTTAACATTGGACAATGAAAATAAAATTTGTTTTAAAATTATATTTTTAAAGTAACAGTATTAAGTATTTACAGTAACTCAATGAGTTTTAAAATTGTCTCTCTTTGAAGCTCACCTTTTTTATTTAGGCCCATTTTTAATAAACTTGTAATTAGTTTCTTTTTCTTAATTTGTTTTTCTTTGTAATTATTCCTAATTTTAATACCCCGTTCTGTTTTGTAAAATTGTCTCCGTTTCTCGTTAGCTTCTTCCCTCCGTCTTATTCCTTCGGCACCCCTATCACATCTACATGTGGATTTATCATGAAGTTCGTGTTCGGATGTGTAGTTTTTTAAGTCTTTTACACCTTCAGATGCTAATTCTGAAATTTCTTTGCGTACTAAACCACACTGTTTTCCTGGAGAATGTAACCAATCTTGTTTAAATACTCTTCTATCGTAATGAGAATGAGGTGTACCCCTAAGACCATCTCCATCCCTTCTAAGTGGCTTTTGTCCATCAGCACAGGTGATGTATCTGAGGACACCAATAGCATGCAAATTATTTTCCTGAAAGTTGTTTTTAAATGGAGTTGTGTACCAGTGCGCTGTAGTTTTTTCTTGTAGGCCAACATTGTAAATACATTAGTAAAATGTATTAAAGCGTGAAGATGTTCATGTGCTATACTACCATCGTCTGCTATTAGAAAACAAATTGATCACTTTTTTTGTGTTAGAATAATAAAATCATTGACAATTATTATTGTATAAAATTAAACCAAATAATTATTTATAAATTTGTTTTATTCATTATCATAAATGTACCACTTAAAACTAATTATTACATAGGATCTTTATCAAAAAGAAAAATAAATATATTATAATAATTAATTACATATCCAATAAGGATTGTGTTAATATATCTTCTATAGACTGGTCTGGATCTGTAAATGGCACTCTTCGTTTCGATTTTGATGTTGATGCAGATGATGTTGATGGTAACGTCACCACATTTGTTTGAGTATAATTTTTTTCACTAGCATTTTCATTACCATCATCATCATCTTCTTCATCCTTATCAACTTCATCAATTACTGGAGGTTTCAAATATAATTTTCTTTTCCCTGTTATTCGTGGTTGCTGTTGATGTTGTTGTTGATAAAGCGTATCAGACTCTTCGTCTAAAAGGTTAAATTGGTACCTTTTCACCACCTTTTCAAGAATTTTAAATTCTTCATCATCTTCAATCCTGACACGCATATATCGAACAGGTAGATTTCCAAACTTCCTCTTTAAAGTTTGTGCTCTTGGTGAGTACGTCAGGGAAATGAAAATTTTATCACCTTTATTGGTCATCTCTTTTACTCCATATCTACAGTAAATAAAAAAAGATATATGAATAAAGATATTTTTGGTAATGCCCAATTTATTATTAGTGTAAACTGATAACGAACCAAAGCAGAGCTTATAGGGTTCAGGTTACAGAACTAACATTACACATTAGTAGAATACAAACTAACTTTATAAGATAAAATATAACTGAATTAGAAAATAAACTTAGAAATAGCAGTACTATTATAGAGAAACAAAAAAAAATTATTAAATTGAAAAATAAATGCTTAAGCTTCCTATAAAAAAAAAATGTATTTTTATCTTCGTATAATTGTGCATTTTCCTTACATTGATTTACAATAAGGACAATAATAAATATACTTACTGAAACAGTTGTTTTATTAAAATGAACGCGGTTTTAATTGGAAAATTTACTTTATCTTCTGAGAAGATAACCAATTTTGTTGGAATGGTTTCCATTATGAATGTACTAGTAGTAGTAGTGGTAGTAGTAGTAGCAGTAGTAGTAGTAGTAGTAGTAGTAGTAGTAGTAATCGTCGACTTTACACTGAATACTAAACTGATAACTGCTAAAACTGTCCACTAATATTTATACTAGAAAATATGCAAAACCCATTTTTTTCTCTCGACACGTTGAAATTCAATAATTTTCCTTAACAATCTTCTACGGTAATTTTGTTGCAAGCAAACGTGTACGTACAAATATGAATTTTTCGTACATTAATTTCTATTGTTTGCTGTTGCACCTTTGTTGCAACTTTGTTGCAAACAATACCTTCGTACATAGTACTATGTACCCTACGTATGCATTTATCCTTTGTTGGTATTGTATATATAGGAGACCAAAAAACCATACTTTTCATTAACAAAAAGTTAATCGAAGCAGTACCACAAGTAAGATGAGTCATTCCTCCTCCTCAACCACCACTTCTCAACAAGTGATTGATACAATGTCCACTGAATGGGTTAGCCGGATTGAGATTGTAAGTAGATTAGTTAAGTCCAAAACCGATTTACAAACCTACATAAAACATTTGAAAAAACATATTTTATTGTTAAATAAATGTTTAAAGCATAAATTAGGTTGTGTTAAAAATTTTTCACGAATTGAATCAAACTTATCTATTTTAAAAACGTATCTTGAAAAATTTAAGAATAAATTAAATTTGAAAAAATATTCAAGAAGAGAACTATTATGGCAAAATGTAGAATCATGTTTTAATCGTAGAATTAGTACTGGTAATATAGTAAATTTAAAAATTAAAGATCCCAAATTATTTTTTCAAAAGGCGTTTAGAAGTTTTTCCATTCAAATTAGAAAACAATTAAAAAGATCATTGTTAAAAGTAAACGTTGTTTTATGCTATTTTCATTAAACCGCAAGATGGAGAAACTTCTGTTTAACATTTTACAACAGAAAGTGAAATAATTGATTTGAACACAAATTTAAAGGATTGGTATAAAATGTATTGTAGCGATAGAATTTTAACAAAATTTGAGGAATTTCAAGAAAGGGACAGTGGATGGGCATTGTTAAAAATTTTACATTTAAAATTAAATATTAATAAATATAATCCTTTACAAGGAGGTATTTCAACTTATGTTGATTTACCACCTTTTATAAAAAACACAAAGAGTGTTATTAATATTAAAAATTCGGATCCTTTTTGTTTTCTTTGGGCAGTTGTAGCAGCTAAAGAACCAGCTGCCATATCTAAAAATGTTGTAAGAACATCATCCTATAGACACTTTAGCAAGGTATTAAAGTATGATAATATTAATTTTCCAATGGACATAAAAGATATTCCAAAATTTGAAAATTTAAATAAACTTGCAATAAATGTTTTTTCTGTAAGCAAAAAGAAAGAAATTTTACCATTAGTAGTTAGTAAAACAAACTTTCATCCACGTATTAATTTACTTATGATAAGTTGTAATAATGATACTTTATATAATGCTGATGATAATGATAGCAGTAGTGATGAAAATGAAAATTACATTAAGACCAGCACCTTTCATTTTGCTTACATTAAGGATTTATCAAAATTAGTTAGGGGACAAATGAGAAATTCAAAAAATCGTAAATGGATTTGTGATCGATGTTTAAATCACTTTAGTAGCTCTACTTATTTACAAAACCATTTAACAGATTGTTGTAGATTGGATAGTGAAGTCAAATTAGTAGTACCTAAAGAAATAAACAAATTTATGATGTTTAAAAACTTTAAAAATGAAGAACTTGTACCTTTTGTTATATATGCTGATCTGGAAAGTATTCTTGTAAAAAACACATTTGATAATAATATGCAGAAATCTTCTAAATCACATATATCTAACAAACATGAAGCTTTTAGTATTGCTTATTATTTTAAATCAAGTTATGATGATTCCTTGTCATATTTTAAAAATTTCACAGGTCTTGATTGTCATGTGTGGTTTGTAAAAGAACTAGAAAAAATTGCTAAAAAAATAAAGTCTTTAAATTTACTTCAAAGATATCTTAAGTTACCTCCTTTAACTGTCAAAGAAGAGCATGATTTTAATTTGTCCTCTGTTTGTCATATTTGTTCTAAACCCATTACAAATATAAATGAAAAAGTAAGAAACCATTCACATATTACAGGTATATTTATGGGCGCAGCCCACTCGTTATGTAATATTAAATATCAAACTTCATACGCAATACCTGTAGTTTTTCACAACTTATCCGGTTATGATAGCCATTTTATAATTAAGGCTCTTAATTCTGAAATTGAAGGAAATATAACGTTACTTCCATTAAATCAGGAACGATATATTTCCTTTACGAAATACATTAAAGGTACAAACATTAATTTTAGATTTATAGATTCTTTTAGATTTTTGTCTGATAAATTAGATAAATTATCTTCTTATTTGGATAATGAACAAAAAGTTATTACAAAGAAATATTATAAAGACATTTCAAAATTTAACTTGGTAACACGAAAGGGAGTTTTTCCTTATGAATATTTAGATAGTTATGAAAAATTACAGGACACTTGTCTTCCATCAAAAGACAAGTTTTATAGTCAAATTAACAATGAGGAAATTACTGACAATGACTATGCACACGCATCGAATGTTTGGAAGACTTTTAACATTAAAAATCTAAAGGAATACGCTGAACTGTATTTAAAGACTGACGTATTACTTTTAACTGATGTTTTTGAAAACTTTAGAACAATGTGTGTAAAAACTTACGGATTAGATAGTCTCCATTATTACACATTACCTGGATTAGCATTTGATGCAATGTTAAAAATAACCAATGTCAAATTAGAATTGTTGACCAACATTGAAATGGTTTTGTTTTTTCAGAAAGGAATTAGAGGCGGTATTTCTCAGTGTAGTAACCGGTATGGAGCAGCTAATAATAGGTATATGGGTAAAGAGTACAATCCACACTTACCAACATCCTATTTGATGTACTTTGACATAAATAATTTGTATGGTACAGCTATGTGTGACTTTTTACCGTATGGTGGTTTTCAATGGATACCTCTTTCGGAAATTTATAAAGAAAATATTATGAATTGTCCTGATGACAGTGACTATGGTTACATTTTAGAAGTGGATTTAGAATATCCAAAGGAAATTTTTGAATTTCATAAAGATCTCCCACTTTGTCCTGAGCATTTAATTCCACCAACTTCTAATTCAACTATCCCAAAATTGTTAACTACATTGTATGATAAACAGAAATATGTTATTCACTACAAAAATTTAAAACAGTCCATTCGATTAGGATTAAAATTAAACAAAATTCATCGATGTTTAAAATTTGAACAGTCTCAGTGGTTAAAAAAATACATTGATATAAACATTGAATTAAGAAAAAAAAGTAAGAACGAATTTGAAAAAAATTTATATAAATTATTTATTAATGCCCCTTACGGCAAAACTATCGAAAACGTTATGAAATATAAAGATATTAAGATGGTGAATAGATGGTCTGGACGATACGGGGCAAACTATTATATTTCTCAACCAAATTTCCATAGCTGTACTATTTTTGATAAAAATACCGTTGTAATTGAAATGAAAAAACAAAAGATTAATTTTAATAAACCAATTTTCTTGGGTATGTGTATTTTGGATATATCTAAGACTTTCCTCTACGATTTTCATTATGACTATGTAAAGGAAAAATTTCAAGAACGAGCAATATTGCTATACAGTGACACTGACAGTCTAATTTATAAGTTTAATATTGATAATATTTACCAACATATTCGGGATGACATACATAAATTTGATACATCTGAATACACTGAAAATAATGCGTATAATATTCCTTTAAGAAATAAAAAAGCTTTAGGATTAATGAAAGATGAAAACAAAGGACAAATAATGACCCATTTTATTGGTCTTAGATCTAAAATGTATGCTTTTAAAGTAATGAACAATAATTCAGAAAATCTAATTAAAAAGTCAAAGGGAATAAAAAAAGGCAGCTATAAAGGAATTAACATATGAGGATTATTATACAAGTTTATTTAATAAAACCACAATTGAACTTGTTCAGCATTCAATTATTTCTAAAAAACATGATGTCTACACTTTGTCACAAAGAAAAGTAGCATTGGTTGATTATATTCACACTGATACGTTGTCCTGGGGCTTCAATGATAAGTAAAGTAAAAAATTTTTAAAGAATCATTATACCTAAGTAAATGTTTTTTTGGCTTAATTAATCTACTATTAATCTATCATGGATGGTATTGTTGATATTCCATAAAATTAAGTAAGTCAATAAACTTATTAGGTACGTAAATGTTTGTATTAATTTTTTTTCTCGTAGTCTCAAATCAAACAAAAATGGAATAAAGTATTAAAAAATCGAACACGTTTTCAACATTTAAAAAGCAATAATACAGCAAAACGAATAAAACCCATCCAACTACCTACATAATGTTATTTAAACAAACTATATGGAAGTATTTGGTGTAACAACTGTAGAAAATTTTTTTGTTTCTGTGAAATATCTCTTTGCATTCAGAACGAACCAAATTCTCTTTATTTCAATGAAACAATGCCTCCAAATTCCTAATTATTGAAAATGTTACTTTTCATCATTAAAATTTCACAGAGGTGAGCAATTATCCTTAACGTAATACTTAAATAAATAACATTTTTTGTTTGTTTTTAGCCACGAATCAATTGTCCCATTGTTAATAAGGAGAATCTTCTACAAATTAAAGAAGACGTTGTTACCAATTGTAAATCAAAACATTTTCAACTTTACCAGGCACAACCTCAAACAGAAGAGGATTGGGATGTTATGGAAAATAATTACCAATATTTACGGTGGATGGATGAGTGCACTAACAAGTACTGGAATTGGATCAAATTAAACATGTGGTACAACGTTATTACATTTAATTATTACTGTCAAACGTTATAAGAAAAAGAATTGCAAAGTTTTTAAATACATTTTTTTTAAACAAATACTTTTGTGTGTCATTTCATCAGGCCAGGCTCTACTGTTGAGTAGAGGCTCGGCTAGGCTAGTCTCATCAGTATCTACCACCACCATCTAACAAAAATTTTTAAAGTTAAACATTTGGTGCAATCATTTACTTTCTAAATTTTCTGCCTAATACCACAAAACATTTTATACGTCTCTTATTTTTGTTCTATCACACTCTACTACTACCCCTTCTGGTCATTGACGATTCTTCGGCCGCGTCATCACTTCTTCGGCTAGAAGTGGATGGTATCTTGAAGAACACTCCTCTACTACTACCTCTTCTGGTCAATGATCATTCTTTGGCGATTCTTCGGCTGCATCGTCACTTCTTTGACTAGAAGTGGATGGTATCTTGAAGAACACTCCTCTACTACTACCCCTTCTGGTCATTGACGATTCTTCGGCTGCATCGTCACTTCTTTGACTAGAAGTGGATGGTATCTTGTAGAACTGGATGGACATGTTACCATCGGTCCCAGGTTCCCGCTTGCTATACTACTGTAGTTGATTTATGTCACTTCTACGCCGCGTGAGTCATTTTGTCACACACACAAAAAATGCGAAATCGTGAGGATTTGGCCAAATTAAGGAACATTTTGTATATTACTTGCCTCTATACAAAAAAATACAGTGATTTTGAAAAAAAACAAAATTGGCGGATTCGAGACTTAACTTAATTTGCCTTGGCAGTTAAAGTGTTAAAAGATAGTATAAGTTGTTTATATAGAAGAATTTAATTGTACACCTTTTGGATGGTGGCATAGACAATCTGGGTGGAAAGTCTTCTGGTACTTCATACCAACACATTTTATCGCATTTTATTTTCTCTTTTTTATTTTTACTTTCAACTAAATTATTACCTGCTTCTTCAAAGTAATTTTTTTCTTCTTCAAAGGAAACCGATGTACTTAAAACATTTTTAGTATTTTCGTCCAATTCAGAATCGTCCGCATTAGACTCAACATCAGACACTTTAAAAATAAGGATCCGTTTTACCTTCATTCTCGAACTTATCCAACAAATCTGAAAAATTATCAGCCAAGCGCTGTAATTCTGTTGATAGTAACCCCTCTTTGGCCATATTACATCCACTGAGACATATAAGACCCATTATAAAAAATTGACAAAAAATTACTTGTGTTAATGATTTTAATTGTTAATTTAGTTTAATAATTATAAAAGAACAAAACAAAATAATATTAGCGCTGTACTTTTGAAACCTTTTTTTAGAGCAGTACTTTTTTTCAAATTAAATATTTAAAATAAGTAATATAAGTACCTAAAATAATATTAGAAAAATAATATTTGTCATTTATCAGCACTTCTTTCGCCAAAGCTTATACTATTTAACTCTGTCCAAAATTGTTTAGCTTTTTCTCTGGCGTTTAAGCCAGATAATCTTTTCAGGCAATAATTCAGTAAATTCACTAAATAAAATGGTATGAGCAATTCTGCTTAGGAATAGGACATAAAATTAAAGATAGATAAAAACAAAAATAAATATATAAAATATGCCAAAAATAAACCAAAGGATTTTAATTTTTTGTTATGGTACAATCGATCCACCGTCTTGGAAAGTGATTATTTAAATAATTATAAATTACTACAGTGTGATGGACTGGTGCACCATCGTGCAAAAACCACATTTGTTGGCGAATTAGCAATATAATCAACTTTATTTACTTACCAAACAAATGAAGAAAAAATGCATAAACTAAATGAAATTATTAAGAAGACACTCTCTATAAATACACGCAAAAAGTTTCACCGCGCTTCATTATGTAAGTATGTATTGTTATGATTTTATAACCTCACAATTTAAAAATATACAACTAAACTTAACTTACCCTGGCTAGCCTTTTTAATATATTTTAGCACTTTTTTTAGAGTAGATTCTCTTTCGCCCAGTGGTGTCGGTTCAAGAATTATAATACTTTTAAATTTTATTTTTAATTATTTTTTTTTTATTTTATTTATTAAATTTAGTTTATTTAATCTATTTAGTTTAGTTTATTTAATTTTATTTTAATCTTCTTGTAATTTTATAGATTCTATTAGAATTATGCAAAATGATCTCAGACAAAAAAAAATTGATACCTGTATTTTGTTTTATTGAGCGATTAAATATTTAAATAAACAAACTCTTACAAAATTGAATTATTGTTTAATTTTAACAAATCACTATGGGCAATTTGAACAAATATCAGGTACTTTAAATACTTGGAATAAATGAAAAATAACTAGTATCTACCCTACTATACCTACTACACCTAACTCAATAAAAAATGCAACTCTTCTCAAAGACAAATTATTAAAAAATCAACAATTATTATATGAGCTCATTTATAAAGAATTACTAAAAACTAAACTATGACGATATTTACAACTTTAATTTTCAAAAAAACAACTTGTTATGAATACCTATTCATAACGAATAGTCAATCACTGCACAAAAATAATAAAAAGTTTTATAAATACCGTATTCACGGTCTGGGGGTATCACTACTGTCCAGGTCACTCTTATATCAATCTATTATTTCATCTTCTTTTCCTTCTCTCATTAATCTTATAGTTTCTATTAACTTTTACACCGTATCTTTAATAGTTTGCTTATTTAAACTTTTTATATATATATATATATAACTGTTTAGTACAATTTTATTTTAAAATTTTCTGACATTTTTTAAAATTCCAAATTGACATCCTGATTTCAAATTCACTTTCAAACACCTTTTCATCTTAAAATCAATCCTTTCTACCTACTTCCCAAAGTCTGCTTTACTTAAGACTTTATATCAATTTTTAATATACAGGGTTATGACATTATTTTTATTTATTACTATTATTATTTTCATTCTTATGTGAATGTTTCAATCGGTGTCGAACCCTCCCTCTCCGACAACTAGAGGGTCGAGCCGATTAATTAAAATGACAGCGACTCTCCACACCGCGAAGTCAGTCACTGCCGAGTTCCGCTATTCATGTGCCCTGAGTAGTCGCAACGATCCTAATATGACTGCTTTCTGCATCCGACCGGCTTATATTTTGGCCATGTCGCTACATGCTGTTATGGTCTGCAGCTCTGATAGCAGTGAATTCTTAATGCCACCTAGACAACCGATTATCAAAACCACCAAACGTACTGTGTACTGGATACAGCCTGCGTATTTCGAAGGTGAGATCTCGATATTTAGTTCGCTTTTCCTCCTCCTTTCTGGCGATGTTGTTCTCGCTGGGTGCCGAAAACTTGATAGCATATATCGCCCTTTGATGGTCTAGAAGGGTTATATCAGGCTTGTTTGCTTGCAAACGCCTGAAAGTAGGAAACGAATAGTTCCAGTAGATACGGCATTTTTCGTTTTCTACGATGGTCTCACAATTTCTTTCGGTACGTAAGGTTTAACCGGTGTCTCATCTATACTATAAGAGTGTCTCAGATGGAAGTAAAGCACTCGCAGAGCTGCATTGTGTCGTTGGATGTAGGCCGAGACTGCGTATTTCGGACATGCGGATAGTAAATGCATGATTGTCTATTTAATCTGTGGCAGGCCCTGCAGCTAACGTCGGGCGTGTCGAAACCTAGTACATTTCTCCGATATACAAGAGTGTTGTAAACCCCATCTTCACAGGCCATTATAAATCCCTCAATTTCTGATTTGAGGTCACTTGACCTTAGAAAGGCAAATGTCAGTCGCTTGGATAAGCTTAGCTCTTCGATGTTTCTGAAGAAAACGCTATGCATAGGCTTATCCATATGTTCCCGCTTTAGCATAACCTGTTCTGCAAATTTGATATGGTGTTTCAAAGTTATAGGGGGTAACTCGGTAATAGATTCTAGGTTTCTTCGCGATGTATCAAAGACGAGGTCAAAACCTTCAGCTGCTCTTCTTGATGTCTTGAATATAAAGGTTCCTTTTCCAGTACTTTCGTGGTCGCGTACCATGCACAGAAGGGGGTCTGAACTGATTATTATTTTGCTCGCTAAATCCAAATACCTTTCTATGGTGAAGATGTTCTATGTTCAACAGCCCTCTGCCTCCCTGATCGCGTTGGAGGTATATTCTTTGTACGGATGAATTTGGATGCAAACTCCTGTGGAGATGCATCATCTTTCGGGTTTTGATGTCGAGTTGACGCAGCTCTTCCTGTGTCAATTTTATTACTCCAAAGGAGTAGAGGAGGATTGAAACGGTAAGCATATTTGTAGCACCCACTTTGTTTTTCCGGACAGTTCTTTTTAATGAGAGCAACCTCCTGCATTTGGCGCTGTTGCACTCCCAGGTAGGTATAAGACTCTCCGACATTTAAATGTCATAGAACGTTTCCATCCACAAGTTGTACTTCCTCTCCAAAATCCTCGCATGGCCTCTAATGAGCTGGATATGTGCACATTTGTTTAAACCGAACTCCATGCCGATAGCTTGGGTGTACTCCTGTACCACCTGTAGGGATTGTTTGAATTCCCTCTCGTTGGATGCATAAATCTTTAAGTCGTCCATGTAAAAAAGGTGAGTGACTTTATGTCTTCGATTTCCAGGTGGGCCACATAAGTATCCCCGAGTGTTTCGTAGTGCCACAGACAACGGAATTAGAGAGATGCAGAATAGAAGGGGACTCAGGGAGTCTCCCTGGAATGCTCCTCTTCTGAATGATACCAACCCTGTTTCGACCTTCGCATTTCCAGATGTTATGGTTTTCCAGAGTAGTATGTATCAGTTGTTGGTATGCATTTCACTATTGGGTCTGGCAAGACAGTCTGGACGATCTCGCGCCTCCATTCCGTGCTTGCTGAAGTTTCCCCCGGATCCAAGGTGATTTCGATGTTGGCCTGAGGTTAGCCTGAGGAATTTGATCCGGAAGGTGGCACTTCATGTTCGTCTAGGTTAAGCTGTGGTACGTCGTTTTCATTGTCTTGATCGCTTTCACTATTACTCTCTTCTGCATCTTCGGGATCTGAATCATCTTCGTCCAGATCAATACTTTCAATGAAAGATTGGTCGAAGCGACGTCGTTCTACGCGTTCCACGATACCTGCGTCTAAAGCAGCATCAAAGACGCGTTGTTTGTACACGTCGCTTCGCCTTTTCTTCCGAATTTGCTTTAGAGATTTAGTTGGGCAGGCAAGAGCATTCAACCTGACTGTCATGTAAGGGTCACCCCAGTACAGACATTCTGTGTCAATCATCCTCGTGATTTCCTCGTCCGCCGCGGCTTCTGTCTGCGGACTGAGGAGCGGCGGCCCCTATGTCTGCATCGGCTGTCCTAGCCTCATTTCGGGCGACGGGGTGCGCTTGTCGTTCATGAGTAGTATAGGCTCTTCTATTAATGAACGACCGGTTACAATGTTGGCATGTAACCGCGCCGACGGGTACTTCTGGTTGCTGAGGTCCTGGACACTTCGGCGTGTGGCAGAGAGCAGTATGTACCTTCTGGTATATTTTCCTGCAGTTTACACACTTGTATGTGAGTGTAGTATTCTTGTGCTGCGTGTTGTAGTGTTTTCTCTTCTGCTATACTTAAGATAAAAATGTTTCGACCTGCCCGCATGCACGCAAGCTCGGTCTTCATACGGAAAGATCAATTCAACAGAATCATATCCTTGTTCGTTTGCCAGTACGTCAACGTGATAAATATAATAATAATAAAAAACTTTAATTATCATAAATAACATATAAAATACAAGATACTAATAATTAAACATATAAATCATAATAAATAAAGTGGTTGAGTCGATAAGTAAAAAATTTACTTGTTTCGACAGAAATACATAATACATAATAAAATATAAATACATTTCTTAATACTATGGTAAAATTCTAAAACTGTAATATTAATAATGGCATATAAAGTTAACAGAGTAAGTATTGGGGTAAACAATAAGGATCTTAGAAGAAGAGTATATTTCAAAATCGTGACACTAGTTTGTGTACCTAAGTTTTTTTTTTTTAAGTTCTACATTCTTATTTATTTAATTTTTTTCTATGAGTTCGGATATTATTTTTCTATCCGATTGTACTAAGTGAAATTTTAATTTCTTCTTAAAACTAGTTTTGTTCTTTATATTTTTTAAATGAGAAGGAACATAATTATAAATTTTATTTGACAAGTATGAATATGATCGTTGTGATAAAGATTTTTTTACAGTGGGTGGAATTGTGTTATTTTTCTGTCTTGTGTCTAGGTATGTAGTAAGGTATATTTATCGGTAGAGAAATGAAATTTTGTATTCACTACTAGGTAAAATAGCTGGCGTAGATCCAAAATGTGACTTTCTTTGAATAACATGTCAGAAGAGTACCTTCTATTTTTGGATAAAATTAATTTCAAAAATCGTTTTTGTATAATTTCAAGTGGATTAATGTGTACTCTAAGTGCACTTCCCCAGACCACTATTCCATACCGCAGATGACTTTCAACCAATGCAAAATATAGTATTTTCATTGCTTTTAATGGGAGGTATTTATTCAGGTACTTAAATTTATATAAAATTGATTGTAATTTTTTTATTACAAATTTTATATGAATATCCCATTTAAGATGAGTATCAATAATCACTCCTAGATATTTAGTAGTTTTTATAGCATTAACTTTGAAGGAAGTATCATTTTTGTTAATTCTAAGTTGCTGATAGGGGCAGATATTCGTGTTGGTGCAGCTAAAGGGTAGAAAATGTGTTTTATCCATATTTATGGTAAGTAGCTTATAGTTAAACCATTTGATCAGATATAGAAAATCCTTTTCTGCTTTATGTTTTAATTCGATCCAGGTATCAGCCTTATAAAAAACCGCTGTGTCATCAGCATAACCCAGTATATCTACTGTTGTATTAAGACTAAATATACTATTTATGTACAAGTTAAAGAGGATCGGCCCTAGAACCGTACCTTGTGGTACCCCATAGTCGATAGGTTTTGTATTACTTGTTGTACCATTAACTTTTACTGCTTGATATCTATTATTTAAATAGCTTTCTAACAAAAGTAAACATTTTCCTCTAAGACCAATGGATTCAAGAGTATCCAGGAGTTGCTGATGGCTTACCGTGTCAAAGGCCTTCGCAAAATCAATGAAAATACATAGACAAGGGTTTCCTTTCTCTATCGCGTGGTGTACTTTATCTGTAAGAGCTAATACTGCATCTTCAGTGGACGTGTTTTCTTTAAAACCATATTGCCTACTTGAAATTAGATCATGTTTGTCTATGTATGATAATAACCGTTTTTTTAGTAATTTTTCAAAAATCTTTGACAAGTTGGTAATAAGGGATATTGGACGATAATTCGTGACTACAGTTTTATCTCCTTTTTTATAAATAGGAATAACAATTGTTTTTGGAATGAATCAGGCCAAATTCCATTCTCTAAGCAGAGATTTACGATGTAGGCAAGCCACTATAAAATCGGCCACTGTTTTTATAGTTTCTGAACGAATATCATCTATACCTGTAGATTTCTTATCTTCTAGTTCGTGTATTATAACTTTGAGTTCTGTTGGTGAAGTAGGAAATAAACTTATACTAGAAGGTATTCTGTTCTCCCGTAATTTAAAATTTGGGTCCCGTTTTATTTTTTCAGCAAGATTTTTCCCCATTTCCGTAAATCTCCTATTGAATTCGTTAGCGATTTCAACAGAATCAGTAAGTAAATCTCCATTTTCTTTTTTTATTTGTTTGATGGTACTTTCTTTGTTATTAGATTTACTTAGATTTTTTACAACGTCCCATAGGTGTTTTGAATTATTTGCATTTCTTTCTATCTGTTGTTTGTAGTAATTAGCTTTTGTTTTATTTAAGATATTTGTAAGTTTATTTCTATATAATTTGTACTCTTTTTTTATTGGTTCGTTATTAGGAAACTTTATAGTTTTTTTAAACAAATCACTCTTTTTATTTATAGATGTTAGCAAGCCATTTGTAATCCATGGCGCAAGTTTAGAATTTTTTCTTGTACATTTTTTTATTTCTAAAGATTTGTTAATGTTTTCAGAAAATATTTTAATGAATATGTTTATTGCAGTATTTGGATCAGTCACTGTGTACACAGACTGCCAGCTGATTTGAGAAACATTTTGTATTAATTTTTTAACATTTAAAAATTTTTTGACCATAACTTCTGAAGGAATTTTTATGTTCTCATGTAAGACAATTTGAAGTATTGTTGTAAAATGAACTGTTACATTGCTTTTTACTATAATCGGAATAATCATATCTGAAATAGAAGTTTTAGATTTTATAAAAATGTGGTCCAATCTGTGTACCGCCTGGCAACGACGACCATGTCCCAGGTCGACCGAGGCATTCCCTTGGTTATTTGGAGGTATAAGTGAGACAAGCCGGCTATCTAGACCGACCTGAATATTTTCTCCCCAGCGTGACCTATTAGCCGAACCCGACTTTCACATGGAGACGATCGAAATGATGTCTCCGGACGTTGATCGCATATTCGTCAGTTCTTCGGCTCTTCTGGCTTTGAAGTGGACAAAAAAGAAAGTATATAGAACACACTTAAAGAAAACATTTAAAAAATTTGATTTCCGAAAGTATGTAGAAAATATTTTAATCAAAAAAGAGGAAGGGGCATCTGATGCCCGCTCCCTGCAAGTTGCAAAAAGAAGAGCCTTAGAACGTCCGAATTCAACTAGTCTGGGGAGTCATAGTTACTCCCGCCGTTTACCCGCGCTTGCTTGCATTTCTTCACTTTGACATTCAGAGCACTGGGCAGAAATCACATAGCGATGGCCCCAGCGGGTGTTAAATTTAATGTATCAAATATAAATGTATTTAAAAATCGAAATTATATATATATTTTTTTTATAAGATGATCTGATTTTTTTTTTTTTTTGACTGATATACTAAGTACATTTATTTTTGATAGTTAATGTACAACAAGTTTAAAACCTGTTTTTTTTTCTGCCAGCTCCTATATCCTCTTTATATGGCATGGGCACTCACAACACCTTTCCTGGTTATATTTCGCAAATATACCTGGCATCGGTCCATAAACGGGCATTTCTAACTTAAAGACCGCCCGTTTATTAACTGGTAACTTCCTTCAAGGGTCCATCTGTGTCGTTTCGTAAATGTTAATGATTTCTTGGATGTCCCTTCCAAGGGTCAATGAACGTCCATCTTTGCAGTACTTTACCTCTACGAATCCATCTGCTTTTTTCGTGAAGGCTAGCTTGTGCAAATTCCTTTTTGCCCACAGCCTATTTTTAAAAATTAGTCGCACTTGTTGTATAGTCATTTTATTGTTCATTATTCTTTTCGTTTGCACGGTTTGCATTGTGCATTAATCGAATATTGGTTTAAAGCTCCCTTCCTATTAGTGCTAATAACTTTAAAAATGCCAACAACCTAGTCATCCTAAGTGGCATCCCTTTTGGTTGCTGTTATTTCTTTTTTTTTTTAGTCGGTGCGGTATAGTAGTAAATTATCAGTATTATATGTTTCCTTTTTCTGATTTCCGTTAATTGTAACCTATTTCATACAATAATCTAAACTCTTCCGCCACACCTTCAGCTGCGCTGGATACAGTACGTGTTTTTTACAAAACGAGGTCACCGATTTTGTAGGTAACACATTTGTTCTTTTGCTGACGTGCCCTTATTTCTGACATTTTCATCAAATGTTTCGGTACCTGTAGTTTTAATTCTTCTGGAGGCTTCATTTACTCTTCCTGTAGATATTTGTTTATTACTCTGTTGAGTTTGTATTCCGGATGTTTTCCCTTGACCAGTTTTATGGGAGTGCATCCCGTGCTTGAATGAGGTATGGTATTTAGGCAGTCTTCAAAATTTGGTAGGTAGGTGGCTAAACTGGAATGTCTCTCATGACAGTAAGTGCAAGAAAGGCGACCTAACTCTTTCATATACCTTTCTACTGGGTTTGGTTCTGCGTTTCTGATGGATGCATAGGTAAATTGTATTCCATTTTCAGTTAATTTCTTTCTCCAAAGTTTTGACGTGAATTGTGTTCCGTGGTCACTAAGGATCGTTTTGGCTCCCAAGGTAGGTACTACATTCTCTAAGATTCTCTTCACCGTTGCTGCGGCATTTGCCTTTTTATTACAAATAGTTGTACATATTTAGAGAAGATGCCGACAGTCACTAGTATGGGTAGTGGCCCATAAAAATCCACGACTACTAGCTCTCCTACAGTTTTTTGCATGTATAAGTCTCATCGGCTTATGCGGTAGTTTATTTGGTCTTTTGGCCTTTTGACATATGTCACTGCTTTGTATAGCATGATGTATGTGTTTACGCATATTATTCCAATCAGTGTTGTCAGAATATATTTTTGTAATGTACCAGATTTATCTAAAAAATGTACCAGATTTCATAAAAATGTACTAGATTCTATAAAATTACCAGATTTTTCTAATTATGAAGTATGGTCATTAAAGAGCAAAAATGGTTTATGAGAACACGAACACAACAATTGT